GCTATTATGATGAATCGGAAAACATTTGCGACTGGTGTTATAGTCATTATGCATTTACTACTAATTGTCTGGCATCATCTAAGATTTTGTACTGGTTTGCCTACTGTACATGAATTGAGCCATCCACTAAATCCCAAGGATGTGAAGTCTCTTGTCAGCTCTGACAACACTATTTTTCCAGAAATGAAGTTTAGAAATGTTTTCTTGGATTAAGGAAGCTATCAGCAATTTTTAAAAAGAAGAAACTAACTCTTCTTTTTTAAACAATGTTGGCATGGCACATCATTCCTGATGATGTATTTAAAGCTAACAGCCTGGATCTGAAGGACTATGTGATTTACTCCACTGAGCCCAGGGGAACATTGGACTAGCACTTCTCAAAAAGCAGTGACCCATGCTGCAGGTCCAACTTCCTCTGAAACTGAGGAAAGCCTGAAAAGAGTTGCTCATATGTCAGAGGGAGAAATCTACTGCTCAAGACAAGGAGGGAAAAAAATCCTATTGGGTACACATAATCACTTCAGCAAACCTATTTTAAAATTCTTCTACTTGACTAATCTGTTTAAAAGAACACTAAAAGCAGCCAATGAATCAAAACCAAACTAAATACACTTAAAGTACTATAAAAGCAATCTAAAATAACAACTGAAACAGGAGAGAGCTGAACAATGCCAGCAGAATAGTAGCACAGCAGACCAACGGTCTAGAGCACAGAATGGACAATTTATAGGTTAAAACATCTGGAGGGCTTCAACTTCCATCTCTGTGGCCAGCATAGCTGATGAGGAGAGATGACAAGAGTTGTCAGACGAAACAACTAGAGGATCAAATATTGCCCACTCCCGCTCTATAGCCTACCCTATCCCAAGTGTCCTCCAAACCAGAGAAAAGAAAAGAAAGCATTGGAAGACCAGGTGACAGGAGACAAATGAATTTTACAGCAGAAGGAGTTCCAGAGCCATGATACTGAGCAAACAAGGCCCTGTCCCATGTATCCATCCACTTCTGAAGGATCTTTGGTTTCCAGGCAAAATTGTATATCTGCCTTCAAGTAGGGACATTATACTTGAATTCCTCCAGCTCCCATGAATATGTTTAGACAAAAGTGGTATTACATTTATCTCTGCTCAATGTTGGGACACTCCAAACATGTCTACTAGGGATGATGCTACTAGCCAGAGAGATTTGTGTGGAAACAGTCCATGTGACATAAAGCCCTGCAGTTCTAGAAGGCTGCATTCCCAAGATTCTTCAGAGACTAATACAGTCTCTGGTCTCATGAAAACCAAAGATAACACAAGAATGAGTTCGGGATGCCTCCAATTCAGACAAAAAGAGTGACTGAAAGAAGCTAATTCAAAAGCCCCTTAAAAATTAGAGATGTGGAAAAAATACAGTTCACTTTGCCTGCACCATTAATAACCTAATAATACTATGGACAAACTGTCCTTGATAGCATTTTTATATTTATAAGACAATTTATGAAAGTTACTTAAGATTTAGCATTGGTAATAAAACTTCCCATATAATTTCCTTAACAAGATCTTCCGTAATAAAAAACAGCTCAGAACATTTTCTTGGAAATAACTTGAATAGCACTTTCTTCCCCATAACGCTACTTATACACAGAATATCCATTAGTATAGGCCTTCTGCTGCTCTGTAGAACAAGTCCACTCACTGACTGTTATGCTTGGAACTGCAGCCATATCTTGCATCCTTTAAGTCTATCCTCCAAACTCATCTTTCCTAGGAACACTCTTAATCATTCCCTTACTGTGTGTACCTTATTGCAATTAAGGCAAACACATGTTATTAAAATACACACATTCTTCACCTACTTCCCTATGCTTCCATTTCCCCTTCTTCTGTTGTTTCCTCTGTCTATTTCAGACTATAAGCCTCATGGGGGCTTAGGGACCAATTATCCCTGCTCATTGTAGTGTGCAGTGTGCCACAGATTGCGAACAGCAGCTTTTTAAAGATCATTTAGACCCAGAAACTCTTTGGCAAGCATCCAGTTTCATAAAATAATTTATATTCTTATTAGTATATTTCTGACAAGTCACTTGTCAAATATCATATTTTGCCTGACCTAGTATGCATTTTCTTGCATTATATAGAGCTCATCTACCATTGCTCCTTCCATTTAAATAATGTTTTCTTACCCTGTGACTTTAGTTTACTGCTTACCTTTTTCAACTTATAGTATATATTTAACTTAAGTCTCTATTGCAGTACTTTAAAAAATCTTCAACAATCTTGTAGGATGTTTGACTTTGTAACTGCTCCTGTCATTTCCTTCCAACTAGAAGAGGATATTGAACATGAACCACAGTGATTGCTGCATTATTTGAATCAGAACCTGTGCCCCACTTAGCTAATATAATTGCTTCTTCCACTGTTGTTTCCTGCCATAGCTTTGAGGAAGTAATTTATTGTGCCTTGAAATTAAATGTCCACGTAAGGTACAAGGTGACATTGTCCTTGTCAATATGATCATAAATGAAAAGTCCCGAGTATTATGTTTGTTGCATTTCTAGCTTCTAAAAGCAGAAAAAGCAAGTGTTTAACCATGTGGCACAGAAGACACACAGGGCTGGTCTAGGTCCATCAGGGCTAATTTTTTAAGCATGCAGCACAGCACACTCCAACCCCAAAGTGAATTCATCCCCCCATTTTAACTATGTATACCACAATCACCAACCACAGCTATCTAACCAAGTTTCTTGATTAACCAGGGTTTTAAGCTGGTTAACTGATCAGACTATTGCATATTTGCCAAACTTATTCTCCTGAAAGTGTACATAGGATTGTGTCTTAAGTAACTACTTCGCCAACAACTCTCACCATTACCAGCCATTATAGGACCAGGTTGAGGAAGGTTAACTTCAGTTAAGGTGAGAGAAAGATGATTAATTTCAGATCAACTATGCAAAATGGTACAGTTAAGATATTGGTGCCTTTTCTACAGTGAATCCTACTGTACAGCTTCATTTATAGAGAGAAAGCTATCAGAAATGATTTTGGAATTAAAATAGGCTTGGAAGAAACATTCTCTGTGTTCTTGTGATTTTGTCCTGTCAGACAATTTCTGTACCAAGCTGAAGCTATGTAAGATGACTTGCTGCAGTCACAGGAAATTTTTCAGGTTCCATTGTATATGCTAGAATCCATAAAGGAAGCAGGATGTTCTCTTCCTCAAATCTTTTGATACACAGCCATAATTTTTATAGATGTATTGTCAGTAGCACAGCAAGTGAGAGTGAACACGTTCTGAAATTGCTATTAAGGGCATTGAGCATTCTTTTCCCCCAATGTGCACCTATTTTAAACAAAAGAATGCATAAATAATAAAAATATAGCAATATAACTATTATCATCAGAATCCCAGTACAACTTTTTCCAGGAAAAAACTGTTGGGATTTGTCATTCTTATTCAATTGATTTCCTTCTTGCAGCTTATGCCAGCCTGGCTGGGGCATATTGGAAGCTAGAGTCTAACAATCTGCAAGGATGGCTTATACGCACCATTATTTTATAAATCTCTGTGTAACAATCACACTGGAGTCAGGAGATTAGTTTTTTTCTAGTATACTGATATAGAAAAAAAAGATGGGACTCCTTTAAACTGTAGCTCACTGAATTCAGGTATCCAGCTAAGAAAACCACAAGAGAACTGTGAATTAACTAGTAACTTATCAGACGAATTTCATCATTAGAATTCAGAGTTTCTTGAGAGATCAAAAACTTCTTTTGGAGTTTATTTATTTAACTGAATTGGCTAGGTTTTTCCTCTAATTATATGTAAAGATTCAAACTTTTACATAATGAAAGTGGAATACAAGAGCATGATATTTTGCAGGTGGCAAAAATCCCCAAGGAATTTGAAAGTATCTAGATAAGATTTACTCCATTAGTAAAAGAGATTAAGTGGCCCAGATATATGGCTCTCTTAATCTGACACCCACACTTCTATGAACCCCAAATGTTCTTTCTGTATATTGGGAAGAGGGTACGGAAAGGTTTGCTCAAAATACTTTAACAATAACTTACATGATGCATTCTAATTATATAGACCTGCACTGACATAACCTAACCTGAGATTTCTCTCCAAGATATCTTAACGTCAGTCTATTGCATCAAAACACAAGTTATTCAGCACCCTTGAGAGAAAAATGAGTATATACTTAAACATAAATCCAAAAATATTATCATTAGGATGAGTTATAGTTACTTGTCCACTCAAAGCTTACGTTGTGATACTGAAGCACTTGATACTTGTATTATTAGAGGTGTAAATACGGGGAAACTAATACATGTGTCCTAGATTCCAAATTATTTTTTGTTTCCAAAGCATCCTCTTACTGACTTCTAGTTTAACCATGGCCATATCTTAGGTCACATTTTATATATGTAATGAAGATTTTAAAATTCCATAATGTTTACATTTGACAGGAAATACAGCAAACTGAAGGCTGAAAGCTATCACATTCTTAAGCACTCTTAAGTGAAACATTTCATGTATAATTAGCAATCCATTGTAAAACTACCTGAGAAATGGTGCTTGAATTATGAACTCAGATTTTAGGCAAACAAAAGCAAAAAGTTTATATTCCTAGAAAGTAGGTTGGTGGCAGAGAATAACATGCAAACTACTACATACACACATTATTTTCTGCAAAGCTTCCTATGAAGAACAGGAACATGCATTCCCAAGCACCATAGAAACGCAACTACACATGCCAATTGTAAAAAATTATCCAAATATGACATAATCTTAAGTATTTGGTGCACTGAACTGTGTTTTTAAGTTTTCACAGCTTCCCTTCACAGGGTAATATACTAACACACAGTGTGAATCCTAATTGTTTTGCAGGTAGTCTCTGCCAACACTAACAACGGTATTTAACATTGTCTCAGTTCAAGGTGCTACACATCTGTTACTGCTGCTTTTGTCTCAGCATCCAAAACAAATACAAGATAATGTTGCTTCCTTACCTCCCTCTCAGACACTTTAGCTTGAGTCTGTGCGCCACTGTCTTTTAGCTTACGTGCATTGTCAAGCTGAGTCTGAAGCTTTGTAGCTAAATCCTTTGAAGATAAAGGAACGAAGAGAAAAATAATGCTGCATATAACTGAACATATGTCTTTTAAATATCAAGTACATTTTTATTACAATGTTGTCTCTCACTTCTCAAGAATGACCATACACACATATGAAAATAGTACCACATTTATTAAACATATCCAAAGCTCTTAGATCCTGCTACTGTGTATACTGGAATCAAATCAGTTTTAAATTATGAAGGAAGTCCAGAGGTAGTTTCAAGTGCATTCAGGCAAAGATACATTTTGGTGAATGGACTTAATTATCTGATGACTTCAGAGCTCCTAGATGATTTGAACAATGATTTTTTTTTTGGACTAAAGCACTGCGTTTAAATATATAGAAATTACACAGATGCATTCAGTACTCAATGCACATACCTTGTTTCCCATCAATTCTGCTTTTATTATCTTGGCTCCCAGTTTGTTCATTTCCTCATCACTAAGAATATGGGGGTTCTTATCTTCTGAAATAGTTCTGGTTGAACACACACAAAGTAATCAGCAGGTAGAACATGGGAAAATGCAGTTTATTGTCCCCATTTTTCAAATAAGAAAGGGTGATGACCAAGGCTAGGAAAAACTGGCACATGAGCCCTGAAGTTCACAATGAATACTGTAGTTCAGGTTCAGAGTTGTTTACAACTGTGTAGTATCACCCAACATTATTTGACTGAATAAACCTATTAGAAATGTTTATTTATTATGTATCAGCCTAAATAAATATATTAGGGTGGTGTATATATTTAGTTATTTATTATTTAATCCATTCATTGGGAAACTGGGCTGCAAAAGTAAAGATTGTGACAGCTCTGAAATATAGTCCACTGTTAATATTGCAGATCAGAAGTGGGGCCAGGACCGGTTTTATTTTTACTGTGTTTATATACCGCTCCATATCAAAGTAGATTCCCAGTAAAAAAATTCCCACAACTCTCAGCTTACAGCAGAGATCAATCTAAATTGTTCCCTCAGATATCCTTCCAGAGCAAATCCAACACTCAATTGCAAGCAGAGTACTTATAATCTACTAACTTGTATACAGACTAGTTGCCCCAGTAAATGTTTTAAAAAATTAAATGTGAAGTTGCAAAAGAGCCAGGATTCCTGTCCCTTTTCAGCTCATTCAGCCAAATCAGCCAAGTGATTAATGCATTCAAGATTGGGATGTCTCTGTAGACAAACTTCAAATTTAAGAATACTGGTGCTTTGCATATAAAAGGAAAAATGAAGAGTGCTCCGAGCTTTCTTAAATATTCCAGTTACTAGAACTCATATAACAATCTGATGCTGCACCATTGGCCATTAAATGAAGAAAAAGGCAATGTTTGAAGTGGTTTGGGATATAAAAATACATGCCATCTTCTCCTGAAAGGCTACCCTTACTTTTAAAGACATACATGCATATAATGAAGATTAAACTTTAAGAAATATATTGTATTTTTAAGCCTCAAAAGTAAGAAATATTCTTGTAAAAATTCATTAAACATTAATTATGGAATTTATTATTACATCAGATTTCCTATATTTATACAGTGTTACAACTATACATGAACAGCTGATATCTTCATGCATAAGAGTACCCAACTCATGAGCTTTTTTTCTTACTGGGCTAATAAAGTTTTCCAAATATTAAATTAAATATGAAATGCACCTGAAACAATATTTGTCTCTTCTCACAATAAAAGAGAGGCGCTTTGTGCTCTCTGTGAGTAACCTAATGAGCAATTAAATAGCCTGGGATGAGCAAATATCTTAGCAGCTTATCTCACTGGGCTGTCTGTGTACTAGTAGCACCTATTGTTAATGCAAAAGGAAGCAAGTGGTTCCTGAAACAGACAGAAATAGTGGAAGTGCTTACTTCAAGAACAGGCCATGTCAGTGGAGCCTGAAGAATCTGCCCTGTCCCATTCTGGAAGCAAATATTTCTACTTGTTTCTGGGCTTGCTTCAGAAAGGTATCAGTCCCTGCTGCACTAACAGTGAGCTGCACCAGTCTGGTGCAACCAGACGAGGTGCTGCAAAAGTACTGCAAACTGCCTGCTGGAGCAATATTACTAGCTATTCTCCACAAATTTTATTATTTGTATTTATAATTCCTTTTAGGCTATCTTTAAAGATGGAATCCTCCTAAGATGGCATATATAATCAAAAGAAATTGTATGATAAAAATCTGTAAAATCAACCGTTGCAAATAAAACCAGTAGCCAAAACCCACCATGACAAAAAAGACAATGAGAGCAAGTTTGTATTCAGGGTTTTCCTGAAGGACTGCGAACAAGGGGCCTGATGAACCATTGATGAAAACTAATTCCAGATCATTCGCAGAACAGCCATCATCCTTGTACATGGCCACATTGTTCAGTGGGCAAGCAATAAGGACTCATTTAATTCAAATTCAACACCTGCTCTTTATAGTTTGTATTTTGGAAACCACTTTCAGAGGTTCAACACTTAAAGGTGGCCAGACACAATTTAACCATGCTAAAAGCAACAAAAAAGCCTTCTTGTGTCCAAAGTAAAAGACAAAAGAAAAGGGGGTTCAACTACTCGACGTGGATGGAAAACTGGTAAAAGATGACAAAAGGTAGAAGTGCTCAATTCCTACTTTGGCTCAGTTTTCTCACAGAAGATTATTATGATCTCCCCAAAAAAGGGGGAAGTACAAGCTAAAGGAACAGAATGGAAGCTCAAAATTGATAGGCAAATGGTCAAGGACTATTTAACTGGATTGAATTAGTTCAAATCTCCAGGGCCTGATGAACTCCATCCTAGAGTCGTAAAGGAGCTGGCAGAAGCTAAAAGTGGGCTAGTTGAAACAACTATCAAGTTGATCCACAGTTGAGTACAAAATCAAATTCAAACAAGCAACTTCACAAACTGGGGAGAGGCAACAAGTGGAACACCACATGGCTCAGTACTGGGCCCAGTGGTCTCCAATATATTTATGCATTATTTGAATGAAGAAGTGCCAGAAACGATGATCAAATCTGCAGATGTCACAAAACTGGGTAGGAAGGCTAAAACTCTGGAAGACAGAGAAAAGATTCAAGGTGATCTTGATAGGTTGGAGTGCTGGGCTGAAATCAGCAGAATGAAATTCAGTAAGGACAAGAGTCAAGTTCTGCACTTAGGAAAAAGAAACCAAGTGCATCAATACAAGATGGGGAACAATACTGCAAGTTAGAAGGCTCTTGGAATTGTAGTAGATCACAAGCTGAATATAAGATAACATGTGATGTGGATGCAAAAAGGCCAAATGCTATTTAGGCTGCGTTAACAGAAGCGGCACTTCCAACCCGAAGGCCAAATAGAAGTTTCTCAAGCATTTATGGTAGAGGTATCCAATATATCTTAAGTTCTCAAAACTCTTAAGTTTTCCTAATGGACTGTACCAGAAGGAAAACACAAATGTTCTTTCATGATGAAGAGGAAAGTAAATGAATGAGTCTCCACATCAATTCCACTTTGTCAAGGTAGGAATCATAAGTGCAGATTAAAAGTGTTTCAGCTCTCCAAACAGGGTGGTATCATCAACTCTGCACCTGTGTAATGCCATTCACCCTGCTGCATCAGAAACAGTTCATATCCCTCTCTTGGGCAGATTTTTTAATACATCTATTTAGCATTCAGTCATACTCTGTTGTCATTCAGCTTGAAAATCAACAGGTATTGTCTGCATACAAATGAAACAAAATGAAAGAACATGCTACCAAGATCTAAAGTTTATATCAAAGTTATTAAGTTTTAAATACAAAACTAAGGTTTTGTGAATTTTCTTCCCAATGGAAGACCAAGAGCAAATATCAGAATTGAACATCCACTGTCATCATCCTGCACATATTCATTTGGTGTTCCTTGAGCTCCCTAAAATTTTTACTGATTATTAACCTGGTTCATAAATAAAGCAAATTCATGGGTTGTTTAGTTAACAAATTAGCTAAGCTGAACCAGAGCAATTGAGAGCACTGCCTCCTATACACATACTACTTGAGCCTCATATCAGCATTCATAAAAACTAAAGGACATGTGTTCCATTATTGAATTGTTTGATGCAAAGTGCAAACCCAGAGCAATGAGTTGTCAGCTGGGGCTGAGCTGACAAACAGCCCCAAATTTTAATTCAAAAAGAAACAATGAGTTAAACCCTGGATTGTCTGTCCCTCCACAGAAAATCATAAGAACAGGTTGGATATGGTGTAGCGTAGTGCACAACCTAAAACAGACCATGGGTTGTCTAATCCATGAATAACTCATGCTCATCACATTTGCTATACATAACACCTGAGCAGGAGGTGCATATTCAAAATGGAAGTCACACACGTCCAGCCCATGCCAGTGTCACTATGTTTTAAATAACCCATGGAGGGCTATCACATCATGTGAATGGTATCACAATTCAGGGAGGAGCTGGTGGAAGAGGGAGAAGAAGGAGAGGGCAAAGACCTGAAAAGTACCCTGCAAAGAATTTATTTGCCATAACATACCTCAAGCTTTGTGACTCTTTTTCAGGGGCAACTATTTGAAACCATTAAGACTAAAAAGGCTGTTGGAAGACTTAAAACACCTCAGACAAAATAAATCACATCCAGTTTACCTTTGATGTCTTCCCTTGGCTTCTATCCAAGAAGAAACCAAGCAACTTTACACATGAGTACCCCATGGTTAATGTATAGAGGACGGGTGATCCAGAAGCTGGGCAGGCAAGTCTAACCCCACCATGGATAAAGCTGGGCATACAGCATCATTTCAAGCACATTTACCTTGACCTCCAATTTAATTTATTGTTATACCCACTCTCAGTTTTTAAAATAGGAGTAAGAATATATGAAAGTTCCTTTGAGCTAATACTATCCCTATGCATTGGGGATTAAAGGACTTCAGTGGGAATTTGTTTCCAGGCTGATTTGAGCCGCAGCATTTTTTACACATTTGAGGGACTTAATAAATTAAGATCTATTTAGCTTTCCCATAGTGTGTACAACTCTTAGAACATGAAGATCACCTGCAGTGTAGGCAGAAAAATTATACATAATATTGGGTCACAAAACTAACCAATAAATTTCCAGTTTATCCCTCATGCAAATATAAGCAAGACTTTTCTGCCATCAAAAAATAAAATTCCTAAATACCCTGAGTATGATGATTTATTATCCGAGGCACCATCCAGCATCTCTTCCTGTTTCTCTCTTTCATCTTCCTCCCTTTGGGAAACAGCTATTTCCATTTTGGCTGGTTCCTCCTCTAGAACTGCTTTTACATTTTCTTCCACTGTTTGCACTTTACGCCAACTTGGAATAGCATCAGAATCACCAGGTTTTCTGAAGCTACGATTCAAAGGACTAGAAGCATGCAATTGGTATGAAGTACTCCGCAGCTTGTCTTCTTGGTCCCCATCATCATTAGGTTTCAAAAATGTAGCTTTCAAAGGGCTCAAAAAGGGTTTCTCATAATTTCTTATTTGGTAAGAATCCTTTGCAGTTCTGTAAGACGAGTCTTTTACTGCAAATTCTTTATTATTATGCCTTGGTTTTTTATCATCTGTTGTCCAGTCTCGCCCACAACTTCTCTTTTCCTGAGAATACTCTTTATTATAACTCTCCTTAGGTCCTTCCTTATGTGCACATTTTTCTATTCTGTTTTCATCTCGCATTTCCTTTTCCTCCCTCTGTCTCATACTACCTTCATTTCCAGAATATTTACATTTTTGCCAGCCTCTTCTAGAATCATTTTCTTTTTGGACTGCAGCTTTCTCAGCTTCTTCTAACTTTGACTGAAATAGTTCCACTGACTGCAAGAAAATGGATATACACACAGCATTTTATTATTAAGCTACTGTAACAAAACATAGAATATAAGCATGTGAGAAAAAAATTGATATGTTTGGTTTTAAATGAGCTGCATTTGAAATAGTTGTGCTTTATACAAATATCTTATGCCAATTTGATAATTACATTTTTATCCTACTGTTCATTCATGGACCCTTGGTTCCCCTTCTCTGTCCATCACATTTTTTCTTGAAAACAATCCCCTGCAGATTTAGGACATAGATAACCTCGAGATCAGTTTGTGAGATTCACAGCTGAGGAAGGATCTAAACCAGGGGTCCTCAAACTTTTTCAACAGAAGGCCAGTTGAAAGGTGCTGGTGGGGGGTGGGCGTGGGCCGGTGAGGCAAGGTGGGGACGAGGCAAGGCAGCAGCTTGCTCACAAGGAGATAGTTTTCTCCAAGCAAGTTCAAAACGATCTCCTCACGAGCAAGCCATGTGCCCATGCACAAGTGTGCGGCAAGTGCAAAACCTCTGGGGCGGGCCAGTTAAATGGGCATGGTGGGCCGGATCTGGCCCATGGGCCGTAGTTTGAGGACCCATATATCCTAAACCCGTATATCCTCAGTCAAGGCTAAATTATATTCACTGGTGTATTGCCAGCAAAACCCCTTTACCCCATATCTTTGTTACCTGTCTTCCAGTATAAAACATATTTACTCAGAAGTCCCACCAATTTTAACAGGAGGTACTGGAAAACAAACGTTATTGGATTACTGTTTTGATCTCTCATCTCCAGTTGACACTTGCCTAATCTTAACCAAACATGTTTCCACTGAAATGATATAAATATTAATTTCCATATTAATGGACTGATATGACATATAAGAAGTAATTAAGGGATACTGGTCAAGATGTACAGTCTGATCCAGTTACACAATCACTTCCACTACACAGTTGTCCAGGGTTCACATGCAAAGACTCTGTCAGAAGAGTAAGCAATTATGTAATTTAGCTCTTGAAGAGGAAAAGTTGTAGACTCTAGCTCCCTACTTTCTATCCCTACCAAACAGCTGATGGTGTACTTGCTAATTTTCTGATAATACTAAGCTTGTGCAGCTCTAGGTGGAACACACAAATTTGGGTTGCGAGCATGAAATTAACATTCTCCAGTATAAATTGTATAGTATAAAAAGTACACACTTGGTTGTCTTATATCTATCTCTATACCTACTAGAACCATTGTATAAATTAGGTTTGGATTTGGGTTAGTGTTTCCCTCATTTTTCTTCTCTGAAAGTGCTTTGTTGGGAAGCAACATTTCTCCACTACAATATTTTTGTTAGGAAAATATATTTCCCTTTCAACAGGCGAAGAACTTTTTATTCAAACGTCATTTTAACTGTTAATACTATTTATTTATTTTATTCTTCGGCCAGGGCGACTTATTTTATTTTATATTGTTAACTTGTTTTCTATTTTATTGCATTATATTTTAATTGATATCTTTGTGAGCCGCCCTGAGCGGCATAGAAATTTTCTAAATAAATAAACAAACACTTACACCATATCTTTCAGATATGATTTCTTCCAAATCCCGCTTCTCTCTCTCAGATTGTTCCTTCATTCTTTTGTACGATTTCTTCAGCCAACTTAACCCACCATCTTCTACTGCTGTCACTACAAAACAAAGTAATTAAATGTGATATTTGCATACCACAAGTTAATATCATAACCTTATTGCTAAGTGCATATGTTGTACATCACACACACATAACAAATGTTTGCTCCACCAAAACTAAACCTACACCGGCACAATTCACCATACTGAACTCATGTTCTTACACTTATTTGGAAACAGCCAACCTCTCTTTCCCTAAAGAGAATATTGGTCCTGAAAATGTCAAAGAGAGATTAGAACTAACAGACTTCATGACAATCATTATCCTAACATGGTCAACGAACTGGCTTAAAAAGACTGCTAAGTCTTTCACTTGACAAACTGAAAACAAGTGTAGGGCAGAGAGCAATGAACACTATGGAAGGCATTGGGAGGGTCTGTAGGACACAACTGCCTACACTGTGGTTAAAGCCATGCAGTGCAGCTGATTACCCAGGGCCTACACTATGCCTTAGAGCCAATTGGTCACACTGTGGGCCCATTCCATTCAGATGCCCAGATCATACTGTCCTATCTTCCCCTTTCTTCCCCATCCTCAGTCTTCCCACAGGTATTCCAGTGGAGCCCACGGAAGCTCCAAAGCTGCCCTCCCTATCATAGTTGCAAGCTAGTTTTGGCTTGCCACAGCTTGATTTTGCTCCTTTTTTTCCTGGCATGATCATGAAAAACTATTGCTCAAGCTGGCCTTTGCTACTCCGATTTACTTCTCCTAAGCAGTCCCTCCAACAATCACTGGTCTGCAGGTCATTACACAACTACCATGTTTTAGAAGTACATCTACAAAATGAATGCTCACACTTCCTTACTACTCCCCAAATACAGTAACTGCAGAGTTATATATTTGGCAATGTGAGGTTGTATTGTATCTTAATCTACTAAATATTACCTGCACAGGCAGCCAGGACATTTTCTAACTACTATAATAATCTTCTCACATTTACGCATAGTTATATTGTAAAGTAACTTGCTATTTTTAAAATTATTTAAAATTGTTGCTGTTTAGTATTCATTATTGCTTGTGGCTACCTTTGACCTGATCCATAGAAAGGCAGTATATTTTAATGTAGAAATATAAGGGCAAGATCTGAATGGGCTTTTCTTAGTGACAGAAATATCAGAAAAAGGATATCCAGGCAAGGGTAGATGTGAATGGTTTGGACTCAGAGATGAGTTACCACTGACAGCATGTGGTTGGAAAACACACTCACTGTTGATGCCAGGCCAAAGTGCATTGCTCTGTATTGCTAGTGATATCACTTGCAAAGAAAGGAAAGGAATTTCCTGCACTGTATGGCTATGGGGAAGAGGAGGTACAGTGGTGCCTCGGCTCAGGAATGCCTCCGTTCACGACCCAATAGGGTCGTGAACAGAAATTTCAGAAAAAAAAAATGCCTCAGGTCGTGAACTCCGCATTGGGTGACAACCACGATCACGAACATGTTCCCGCACAAACACGATCGCGATCGCAGCCATCTTCCCTGCACGAACACTCCAAACAATAACCTTCACCCCACCCACCACAAGGGGGAACCATGAGGGCATGCTCACCTCGGGTGAGGTCTTTCCGGCTCCTCGCTGCCGCCCCACTTCTGAGCCGGAAAAAGGTACCCTCATAGGCATTCACCCAGATCCGGGAGGGGGAGGAGGAGCAGGAGATCAGAGAGGCGGGCACGGGACAGCTCCCCTGGCCGGGAGAGGGCCACAAGGAGGGAGCTAAGGGCTGCTTCCCACAGGCCAAGGCAAGGAGAGGAGAGGGACGGAGCTGTAGCCGGCCAAGCAGAGTGTCTCTAGCCTCCCCCCACCACGGGAGGAAGAAGCATGGCGGCTGCTTGGCAGTGGCAGCTTACCCTGAAAAGGCCATGGCGGACGTGCGGGAGCCGTGGCTCCGCTCCCACTCTGCCTCAGCCCGTCTGTCCCTGGACTCAGCAAGACGGCTGGGGCTTGGCCTGCAGCCCAGGGACGTGGGTCATATTTTTGTGGTTTAAAATTTATTTATTTATTTATTTAAAACATTTATATACTGTCCTTTATGTATAACATGAAGTTATGGTTCAGAACAGATTAACCTTATTTACATTGAACCTTATGGGAAAATTTGACTTGGCTCACGACCAATTCGGGTCACAACCAGAGTCGTGGAATGGATTAAGTCCATGAGCTAAGGTACCACTGCATGCTGAAGATTGGAAATCTTGGTAAAGTGAGATTTGCTTTTCCTACTTTTTCTAAGGGAACAGATAAAGAATCCTATAAACCTTTTAAGGTAACAATTCATCACACAAGGTCTTTGTAGAATTTTATAAATGGGAGACAACACACGGAAAAATATTTTTTCATTTGCTGTTGCTACAAAATAGACAAGATATTGCTAGAGGAGGAACAAGTGAAATGAAAGAGATTTTATCAATAACCAGCTCCACCAACTGCAACCTTAATGCACTTCATTTCAAATAGGATTCACAGAGTTCAACAGTCCAAGTATTTTAAAGCTGTCATTTGCTTAATGGAATGAAAGAGACCAAATGGGATGACAACAATTTATCATGTCCTGCTACAATCAGGTTCTTTTTTTAATTAGTTCACAATGAAGAATTCCATTGCAGAAACTGAAGGTCAAGCCATTTGAGATTTTAAAAACAGAAAGTTAAAAATATTCAGCAAGGCTATGTGCTGTGATTTTAATCCAGAGATCATATCAGAACTTGCATGCAAATATTTTCATTTAACATTAATGAAGGGTTTCAGGAAAGAGAGAGTCACACTAACACTTATGAATAAATGATCTTACCTTTTGTTGATGACATTACCTCTTCGGGTGGTAAACCTGTGCCACCATCTTTCCAGTAGGGGTTGAGCTCTCTTTCAGAAATCAGCAACTATTTAAGGGAGCAAGGCAAGGTCAACCACAAGTTCATGGAAGCTCTCTTTACTCCTTAACTAATTCAGTGTATTAGTTAACACATTAATAATTCTATATGAATACCAAAAGTTATTTATGTATGTGCCACCAAGTAATCCAAATAAGACTCTCTAGGTGGCATAAAACAAGAAGAAAATTACAAATGCACAAAACATTTATATTTTAATGTTGGTTTTTAATTGATAATAAACATTTAACAAGGAACATTCTTAAGCACATCAAGGTGAGATGGACAGCCATAATAATTTACTAAAATGCCAATAAAATTAATAAACATTTAAAATCAATTATTAAAATCAAAAATTAAAATTACTAAAATGGGTGGAGAAATGTTTTTGCCTGGCTCTGAAATGACAGCAGAGTTGGTGCCAGGCAAACTTCTCTGGGAAGCCTATTCCATACTGGGGGGCAGCCACCGAAAAGCCTTTTTTTCTATTTTCCATTCATCTCACCTCGAGTATGTTTTTCATGCCCTTTATACACAAGCCCTTAATGAGCCAGCTCACAAGCTGCTCATTTTTGCTCCCTCACAGCAAAAAAAAAGTGCATGGCTCTTTTAAGGGGCATTATTTTCAACTGTTGCTGTGCTTTCACTAGCTTGTTTACTTTACCAGAGCAGACTGGTAATACAACAACAAAAAGTAGTAGTTCCAGGACTAAGTATAGAAAAAGCAGAATCACTCATTTCCAGAACAAAGCAGGTTAGCTAAGCTCTTTTTCAAGAGGTCCACTGATCTGTCCCATTTCAGCAATAAGCACTAGCACTTGTTTCCTGTTATTCCTATTAGGAATCATTTGTTTCTGTTGTACTAACAGTCCATTTCACTAGGATGGAGGCAGTACAAGATCCATTGTTCATCTAGGAGGAAGCGTGATACAATCTTCACAGCCAGTGCTGCAATACAGAGCCCAGTGCGTTTTACCTTCTATCTGGAAAGTATTCACAGTCCTGCAGATTCTCTACCTGGCTGGTCTCCTGTGCCTGCTCCCCGCTTTCTACTTTTGGCTGTTCCCCAGCCTCTAGTACAGACTCCTGGCTACAGCCCCCTAACCTATCACCTCTTCCTTGCTTTTACATGGGTTTCATTAGTTACCAAGGGTCTTGCTTCCAGAAGAATCAACAATCCAAGACAAGACACACATTGATAGTCAAGTCCTGTCTCTTAGGAGTAACCTGGTGCCAAAATGGAAGGTTGTTAATTGAAGAAACAGTAATTTTCTTAAAGCACGGTATCATTGCAATGATAGTTAGTTTCTTTAAGTGATGTATTCATTAATTACCTAACCCACCTGTTCATTTGCTTGAGCTTTCTGTTGTTCCAATAATTTTTCTTTCTGCTTTTCAGCCTTCAGTGATGCCGAAGACAATGTTTTTACAGACATAAAATCTAAGGTCATCCATTCTTCCCTCTATAAATAAAAACAACTAACATAAACATTAGTTTGTTTAAAAATAAAAAATAAACACATTTTCAGCAAGAACATACTTTGAGAAAAACTTTTGCATACAAAAAGTCAAAGCTTCTGGGGTTTCTGGCTTTCTTTTCTTTCCTTTTTTTTTTTTAGACACAAAAATAGTTATTTCATTAAAAGCTCTTACGGCAATTCATAGACAAGCTCGTCCATCATAAAATGATGTGTTTGTAAGTAGGCATGGTGGTACATGTGGTGGTGGCAGAGAATGAGAGCGTACATAAATTCATATCAAGGTTAAGAATATAAATTTTTCATTTTCCATTAAGATCTCATATTTGTAAGTCATTTCTTCAGGAGAATGTACATACCCCTCAACCCCAAAGTACTGAAAAATTGATAGTTCTCTTTGCATTCAGCTTCGGGATCTGTTGTGTCCAATCTGGCAGAAGCATCATCCATCATGGGTCACAGGTGCATTGCATCGCTCTTATATCATCCAGCCACTCAAACCATGCCCAGGCATCAGATGGACTGTTAAGTGGCTCCAATTAGTGCACATATTTATTTATGCCTGCCTTTGGACTCCCCAAATTACATCTACAGTGTCAAGGGCCAGGTTGAAGGACTTTCAAGAAAAACAATTTAAGAAGCTTAGGATAAATATAAAATGAATGGGACAACACTGGCAGCTATACAATAGCACCTCCTATACAGGGAAAAAAATGTAACACATTCCTAACACAAAGGAAACCAGTAAGTAGGCAGGCTTGCATATGATGAACAGGGAAAAGTCAGCAAGAACACTTTTAGAAAAAGCACCAGCACCTGTACTATCCCTATTGAAATATTCCAAAAGTTTAAAGTGAGCAAGAACAATCCACAAGTACAAGAGGGCATGAACAATCCACCATTGGTGTAACAGTGCCCTAACCTGAACTATCTAGAATTCATATAAGAACATTAAATAGCCATAGCTTGCTTAAAAATTTGTATAAACATTTACACTTGCCTCCTGAAATCCTGCAAGGGCACAGTAGCATGTAGAGATTTAATTTTGATAGCTGTTCTATACCTGTTTCATTGTAGAATGAAAGACTCATGACTTTGCCAAAACTACTCTAAGAATTTTTTGTGGGAACTAGTATTTAATGGCTAAAACTAACCAACTAACTAACCAACCAACTAACCGGGCCCAATTCAAGGTGTTGGTTATGACCTATAAAGCCCTAAACGGCTTGGGTCCTGGTTACCTGAAGGAGCGCTTACATCCTTATATGCCCAGCCGCCCCCTGAGATCGGCGGGAGAGGCCCTTCTCCGGGAGCCCTCCATGGAAGAAGTTAGGAGGGTGGTTACTCGGAGGAGGGCTTTCTCAGCGGTGGCGCCTAAGTTATGGAATGCGCTCCCCAGAGAGGTCCGCCTGGCGCCGTCGTTATTTGTTTTTCGGCGCCAGGCGAAGACCTTTTTATTTAAGCAGTATTTTAAATGTTAATATTATTGAATTTTATTTGGCCAGGGCGGCTTGTTTTATAGTGTATGTTTTATATTATATATTTGTATTTTATTGTATATATTTTAAAATGTTATTTTAATTTTTTGTTGTAAGCCGCCCCGAGGCTTCGGCGAATGGGGCGGCATAAAAATGTAATAAAAAAAAAAAAACTAAAATAATTTTAGGTTGGTGTGGAATACACTTCATTATATAATATAAACCAGAGATGAGCAACTCCAGATGCTTTGGCCTATAACTGCCATCATGCCCTACCATTATACTGACAAAAACTGGTAAAAGTTGTAGGGCAAAACATCTAGAGGGCCACAATTTAGCCACTCCTACTATAGCTTACTGGTTATTTTATAATGCAAGTTTAGGGAGAAGTGTTATCAATCCCAACTCCTTCAACAGGTCTTTGGAATAAAAATCTCAAAATCTCTTTAGGCATTGTAAGCATTCCTCAGAGGCCTTTCTCCAGCTGCCCATACCATACCACCTGGAGACAAGGTAGGTGGCCACTGGGAAGAAATTGGGCAATTATCTCCCTAAAGCACTTCTCTGGAGCCTACGTTAACAAAATTTTCCATGATGTCAGAAGGACATTATTTTTCCTTTTGTGGGTTTTTTTTAATGCTGTCATGTTTAATCTGCTGGTTTCTTAATTGCAATTGCTTTATTGCACAGTTTTCATATTTTATTGTTTTACTCCTTTCATGCCAACCCTGAAAATGCTCATTGATGTTTTCAATAGATGTATTCATTTAATAAATAAAATTAAAGACTAGAAAACATGCAAAGTGCATGTAATACATTTTTCAAAAGTGGGTCAGCTTCAGCATTAGTTCTAGCATCAAGCACCTTATCTATTATGTTTAAAAATATTCTCAGTGGACACATCTCATATTAGGTGCTTCAAAATGGGGTATATTCTCCTACTTTGTGAGAAAAAATGAAATTCTAATACATCCCTACATAGGAAAAGCTACACAACCTCTTCAGAAGAACATGCTTTCCAAAGGAATGCGTCTATCATCTTCTCCTTTCCAAATAGTTAAATTATGTTTAGAGAGAAACAGGAGAACAAGGTCATACAAATTCATGAAGTACTGTGAAAATTAATTAATGGAGTGCCAGCTTGTGAATTTGCAGTTCAGCAAGTTTCAGGGCAAAGCAGCAAGTGATACTATGCTATTCCTGAAGATCTCATCACATCCTTTACAACCTGCCTCGATCAGGGAAGTGATTCAGGGTAGCTGAAGACAAAGAAAGATGGGATGACCCACCACTAGAATAATCTAAGTTTGCATAAATTAACAAATGCTTCCTGGAGAATTCATATGATGAAAGAGGAGAAACTTGGAGAGCAGTGGTGCCAAAAGAAATCCCTAAAGCTAGAATGAGTAGACGGGGAGTTTTATACTGTTTAAAAGTTTTATTGTATTTTAATTTGTTTTTATGGAGTCGTCCCTGGCCATGTCGACGGTTGAGTTACCTGGGGAGCGCATGGGCGGCGCCACTGGCGTGGTCACGGGCAATGGACGTTACAGCGGTGGGGGATTAACGTGTCCACGTAGAAGAATGAAGGACAGATGGCTGACACCTGTTCTTCCTTCTGGTTTTACCCTCAGCCAGACTGTTCCAGGTAGTCTTGTCAACCGACCCCTGGGCCTGACGGTGCTGCTGCTTAATGCCAGGTCAGTCCACAATAAATCTTCTCACATCCATGACTTGATTGTGGATGAGGGGGCCGTCCTGGCTTGCATAACAGAGACCTGAGCGGAGGGGGGGGGGATGTCACCCTCTCTCAAATATGCCTGCCCGGGTATCTGGTTCAGCACCGTCCATGCCTGGAGGGGAGGGGAGGGGAGGGGAGGGGGGGTCGCTTTGGTTTACCGAGGCTCCATCTCCCTCACGGGGCTTCCAGTCCCTTTGAGGTGGGGCTAGAGTGCCTCTACTTGGTGTTGGGCAACCGAGACAGATTGGGGATTCTGTTGGTGTACTGTGCACCCTTCTGCCCAACAGTCTCCCTGCCTGAGCTGATGGAGATCATCTTGGACCTGGTGTTAAGAACCAATGTCCTGGGGGACTTCAATCTGCATGCCGAGACTGGTCTGACCGGGGCGGCTCAGGACGTCATGGCCTCCATGACAGCCATGGGGCTGTCTCAACACGTCACCGGCCTGACCCATGAACGTGGACACACTTTGGACGTGGTTTTCTCGACAGGGCAGGAAGAGGGTGGTCTGAGGGTGAGGAATTTATGTCTGACACCCCCGTCATGGTCAGATCACTTCCTCGTGAGGTTTGTGCTCAAGAGCGGCCTCTCCCGCTGTAAGGGTGCGGACCCGATTGTGTGGGTCCGCCCCCAGAGCCGGATGGATCTGGACGGATTCCTGAAGGCCCTGGGGGAGTTTCCAGCTGACAAGACTGGTGGTCCTGTATACCAAAAGGAAGAGTGGGCTCTGCCTGGTGGGAGATGACGCTTAGGAGCGATCATGTCAACAGCCCTAGTCATCTCCTGGTCGAACTATGGAATGGGGAGATGACTAGGGCTGTTGACATGATCGCTCCTAAGCATCATCTCCTGCCAGGCAGAGCCCACTCTTCCTCTTGGTATACATCTGAATTGCAGGCGATGAAGCAGGCTGGGAGACGTCTAGAGTGTAGGTGGAGGAGATCACGGGATGAATCTGACCGAACACACTTAAGAGCCCATTATCAGGCCTATGCTGTGGCGGTGAGGGAAGCGAAAAAGAAATTCTTCTCCATTTCCATTGCCTCCTCAAAATGCCATCCGGCGGAGCTTTTTCGGGTGGTACAAGGGCTGGTCCATCCTGGTCCTAAGAAAGATCTGGTTCCACCCTCGAAGGCCTGCTGTGACGACATTGCCAAGCATTTCAGGGAGGAAATCGCTCAGATTCGTCATGCGCTAGACTCTACTAGTGATTCAGAGGCTTCTGGGGAGATACCAATGTCGCCGTCTGGTCCAAAATTAATGGATGAATTTCAGTTATTGGGGCCTGATGATGTGGATAAGGTGCTTGGACGAGTACGTCCCATCACTTGCCTATTGGATCCTTGCCCATCTTGGTTAATTAACAATGCCAAGCACGGGATTGGGACCTGGATCTTGGAAGTGGTTAACGCTTCTCTGAGGGAGGATCGGGTACCTGCCCCTTTAAAGGAGGTGGTAGTCCGACCGGTCCTGAAGAAAGCGTCACTGAATCCAGAGATGGCCACTAATTATAGACCAGTGGCCAACATCCCATTTCTGGGCAAGGTGTTGAAGCGGGTGGTGGTGAGACAACTCCAAGCACTCTTGGATGAAACTGATTATCTGGACCCATTTCAGTCCGGCTTCAGACCCAGGTACGGTACTGAATCTGCCTTGGTTGTCCTGTACGATGACCTGTGCAGGGAGAAGGACAGTGCATCCCTGTTGGTCCTCCTGGACCTCTCAGTGGCTTTCGATACCAACGACCATGGTATCCTTCTGGATAGGCTGGCGGGATTGGGGGCTCCACTCCTATCTCAATGGCCGATTCCAGAAGGTGGTGCTGGGAGACTATGACTCTGCGCCATGGCAGCTATGCCATGGAGTACCGCAGGGATCCATTTTGTTCCCTTTGCTGTTTAACGTCTACATGAAACCACTGGGAGAGGTCATCAGGAGGTGTGGGCTGCGGAATCATCAGAACGCTGATGATACCCAGCTCTACCTCTCGTTCTCCACCAATCCAGGTGAGGCAGTGGCTGTGCTGAACCAGTGTCTGACCGAGGTAATGGGCTGGATGAGGGCCAATAAACTGAAGCTCAATCCAGACAAGACGGAGGTCCTGTTGGTTGGCAGATAGGGCTTCGGGAAAGGTGAACTGAACCTAGTCCTGAATGGGGTTGCACTCCCTCTTAGGGATAAGGTTCGCAGCTTGGGATTGCTCCTTGACTCAGAGCTTTCACTGGAAGCTCAGGTGACAGCGGTGGCGAGGAGCGCTTTCTTTCAGCTTCGGCTGATCCATCAGCTGCGCCCCTACCTGGAGAACGACTGCCTGGCAACAGTGACACACGTGTTGGTGACTTTCCAACTTGACTTCTGTAACGCGCTTTACGTGGGGTTGCCCTTGAAGACGGTCCGAACACTTCAATTGGTTCAAAATAGAGCTGCCAGGCTGCCGACGGGGACTGGGTGTTATGTTCACATGACTCCAGTTCTCCGTCAGCTTCACTGGCTCCCCATTGAAGTCCGGGCCCAATTCAAGGTGTTGGTGATGACCTATAAAGCCCTTAATGGCTTGGGTCCTGGTTACCTGAAGGAACACTTACGTCCATATATGCCCGCCCGCCCCTTGAGATTAGCGGTAGAGGCTCTTCTCCGGGAACCCTCTGTGAAGGAAATTAAGAGGGTAAGTACTTGGAGGAGGGCTTCTCTGCGGTGGCGTCCAAGCTATGGAATGCGCTCCCCAGAGAGGTCCGGCTGGCGCCGTTGTTATTTGTTTTTCGGTGCCAGGCGAAGACCTTTTTATTCAAACGTTATTTTAATTGTTAATATTATTTATTTTATTCTTTGGCCAGGACGACTTAAATTTTACTGTTATACTGCTAAATTATATTGTTTTATGTTATTTATTTATGATTGTGAGCCGACCCGAGGCTTCGGCGAATGGGGCGGTATAGAAGTCCTCTAAATAAAAAATAAATAAGCAGCAGCTAGTTAGGAGCTTGCAATGACATGTGACATGAAAGAAACTCAAGACAGCTTGACTGCATTTAATGGTAGTACAGTCACACTCTTCATCACAAGAGAAATTCTATCACATGAATGTCAAAAAACTTGAATTAAAATGTTTGAAACCACCTCTTTCCGAACTGTGGTGAGCAGGGCAGGTTGTGTTGCTGTTGTTTTCGCCCCAGGCAAGATCATGTTGCCAGTGAATAATGTTCACTTGTTTAAAGCAACAAACAAACTGAACTACTTACATGATTGAAATATTATAATAAGGAAAACACAGCAAGTTATATTAATCAAAATATAACAGTTTTAGGTGACAAATAATTCATTTCTTAAAACTAATAATTTTCATAAATATGCAACAGTATTCCAGCTGTTTTGTAAAGAAAGCAAATTCTATTTCAAAATAAACCAATTTATGGAATTTAGAAACTATTATCTTGCCTCCACTGTCTTAATGTCACTTTTATTCCATTTTTCAAGGGCATGTCAGCAAAATGATGTAACAGCTAATATAAGCTGCAATTAGAAAGACCAAAGCAAGGGACAATACAGTTAGAAGAACCACACACATATGAAATAGCTATCAAATCTTCTCAAGACTACCAGAATGAGTCATTTCTCTCTCAAATGGGGATCTTCCCTGAAACCCTGCCCAAATACACACACAGCCTGAAAAAGCAGGTAACCAAAATGACTATGAAATTTTTGTCCAACTAATATTAGTAAATTGGTCTTGATAGACTTTTCTCCCCAGGAGAATTTTTTTTTTATTTGAAAAAGCTAACTTCATTAGTGCAACTCAAGCAAGGTTAATAAACATTTTTGTTTTTATAGCATGTAAGTGACTCTAGAAAATATAATTTGCCAAAAAATAGAAAATCATGATGCTAAGAACTGTGTTACTTCTGAATAGACCTGAACAGTACTGCACTGTAAGAGAACAAGCTCCTAACCAGCTCCATTCAAATCTTGCCACTACAGTGAACTCAGTACATGACATTAAACAATCCCATATATCTAAGCCTCAGCTGCCTCTGTGTAACTGACCGATAATGTAAGAATAAAGTGTGAGAAGCAGTTTGACAATTATAAAGTTATAAATGCTAAAAGCAATAAGATACCTAACACAAGGGCCAAACCAGACTTAAATAGAAATCCTAGCAAGAAAAGGCTTGTAAAGGGAGGGGGGTATTCCCCAAGCCATTTCCTTGATTCAGTTCTCATTGCCTTTTAAGCCTACCTTTAATCACAGAAAAAGTACAATATGGTTACCTGCCCTCCCCACCACCACCAACTAAGAGCAGCATTTGTTAAACTGAACAAATGGTACAAAGAAATGGTAATAAGCCCCTATCCCCCATTCTCCAAATCACACTCATTCCTGCTGCTGCTTTTAAGCAAAGAAATAGACATCATCAACCATCCAATCACTTCAACTTTGGTTCTGTGTGTTGCAAGAAGCCAGAACAATTTATTATATTTATATCCCTCCTTTTTTCTAGAAGGAACCTATGGATGCTTCCTTACTATTCCTCCTCCTCTCCAATCCTGTGAGGTAAGTTAGGCTGAAAGTCAGAGACAGGCCTGAAGTCACCCAGTTTGTTTCATGACCAAGTGGGGACCATAACTCAGGACTCACTCTCACCATTATGCCACACTGGCTCTAACTTTGGAACAATGAATTATGACCAGCAGTTGATCTGGACTAGATGGTTATCTAACTCTGGGATTCCTGGTGCTTACCTGAACTGCCACGGGACTTTCTACACTGTCTGATTGTTTCTTCTTCACCTTCCAAGCCTCTTCTGTTCTGGAAGACTGTGGAACAGAAGCTTCTACCCACTCCTCTGAAGAATCCTAAGAACAGAAGTGGTTTAATGAAGTGGCTTAACTTGTTTCAGAGGACAGAAAACACTTCTCATGCCCCATGCTGTTTGAAAAATAACTCGTCTTCCCTATACACCATCAGAAGGTAGCTTTTGCCATGCCAGAAGAGAAATAATAGAGGACAAACTTTAGAAATTTCAAAATAATAGTACTGGAGATTGCAACCCTTTATATTTATAGGAACAAAACTTAAAACAGAAAGCCTGACATGGGGAGAAACTTGTAAGTTTGGTTACACGCCTAATGAATATAACTGTAAACCATTCGAATTGTATAAAATTATATTTTAAAGGTAAGGACAGGCACACATGCATACTTTTCTGGCATCAAAATGACCACTTAAAACGTTACAAGGTCTTCTCACAACTAGAAGAGTGCATGATTCTTGCAGGCCTTGTTTTATTCCACTTGGGTTTATAAAACTTTAATACAGCAGTGATGAGGGAGAAAACAATAACAACATGCATCCAAGCATGGGATGGGAGAACAGTAACAAGGCATACAAAAGAGAAGCCTAATTAAAGTGAAGACAAATGTATAGTCATAACCACTGATTTGGTATGGAAAGAACCCAAACGCTATAATTAGAGTAGACAGAAGTAAGCCCACAGACTGAGGGAAGGCATTCTAGCCATTAAGTGTAAGTTGCTTTACACAGAACAAATTCACATGTCCCAATAAGCCATCCTGAAAACAAACCACAGTGATTTATTTAACCCACTGCTAACCCATACTGCTGCCTTCAGACAATCAGGTGCTCCATAGTTTGCTATAGTTTGTTTCTCCCTTGGTCCTCCTGCCCATTCCTGGCACTTAATAAATCTCTGAAGCATGTTTTCTTCTTTTCTGGTTACATTAATTCTACCTTTGTTTCACAGGTGAGGCATCTATGTTCTCTGTCTTCACTTTCTGGAATTTTAGACAAATTAATTCAGGGGGAGGGGAAGTCAGAAATTAAAATTACACACTTCCATTCCCACAAGATAAAACAGGAGAATGAAGATGCGGGGTGGGGCGAGGATTTGTACTTTTTAACACTTTTTCACTTTTGGGCAGATTTACATAGGATTGCATTAACTAATAAGCATTCGTCAATACACACATATGAGCAGATCTTCCCAGAAATGGATGAAAAATTGTATATGCATTGTTCTTGTGTCTAAGCATTGCTAAAATGACAAGTTTGGGAATTCCCTCAACAATGCGCCTTCCTCAATCAACAAGCCACTGCACTGAGAAACTGGTAGTGTACATCTTTTAAATGAACTGATGTTACATCATATCAGCAATTGTATTTCAAATGTACAGTATATTTAGTCTTTAGAAAGACCCAATTACACTCCCAAATGGAGGTGACAATAGTCTTCTGCCAAATGGTGACTCAGATTATAAAACTTACAGAAGTGGTATCAGCTGAATCATTGTTCTTTTCAGTTTTCTTATGCTTCTTCTTCTTCTCTTTTTTATGTTTTTTTGAATGCTTCTCCTTTTTCTTCTTTTTGGTAATACAATGTTCCTGCATAAGAAAAATGTATATCATTGTGTTAGGCCACAAAACTAAAAGTAGAAAGGAGTTTCTTATTTTGTCATTTTAAAGTATAGACAAATGTCTACAGAACATCTCCACTAACGTCAACTAAGCTACTTGATCCTTTATTTGGTGCTAAAGTTTATATTTATTTTGAATTCCAGATACGTATTTTAGAAAATCCCATGGTTTCCTGACATGCTGTGTGTGTCTTATAAGATAGGGGCAGCACCAACCTCAGAAATGCCTTACCCACAGCAAGCATGGCTTGGGGCTAGCACAGTGGGTAGGCGAGGCATTCAGAGAAATGGAGAGGAAATCCTGGTGGCACCTCAGTCTCTCTTCCTTGTAAGGAGGGGAAAAACTTTTAGATGATTATGTAAACATTTTGGAGAGTTAAGGGAGTGCAGAAGTAATTCTAGCTTTCACATTCCTCCCACCTCCCACTGGATGCCCATAGTCCTCCAAGTTTGGAAGGTAATGGGCAGCTGCACTGGATGGAACTATATATTTATTATATTTATATCACACCTTTGTCTTTTTTCAAGAATTCAAAGCAGTTGACGTCGTACTCTGCCTCTCCCTTTCACTCTTATCCACATAACAACAACCCTGTGATGTAAGCTGGGCTGAGAATCTATGACTGGCCCAAAATCATCCAGTTGGTTCCATGGGCGAGCGAGGACTAGAATCCAGATTGCTTGAGTCTCAAACCCACATCACACTACATCACGCTGGCTCTCTTAATGACTTATTTGATTGTATATCACTTTCACTGAAAATATGAATATGAAACAGGAATAAATTTACATTTCAAATCAACAAAAAAAGTGTGCTAGTGTTTTTTGTTGTTGTTTTTTTAAGTAGGAGTATTTATCACTGTCAACCTACAAAAAACTTTTGGTTTATTAATGAAAAAATTTCTTTGTAATTCCCTTCATCAACTTTCTTCTTGAAGGACACATTACCCAAAAACAGAGAGACAAAGCCCGATGCTGTGGGGTCTTAAAAACTGAGTTATGTTCTCCGAGAATTAATTTTGGTGATGGTGTCCCATGTCTGCATGCTGATTTGCATTATATCCTAAACTCCTTCAAAGACATGACAAGAAGTGGTGAAGCAGTGGTTTTTTATTTGTTTCTTTGCTTTTCTTCTCAACTGAGTTGCATACACAAGGTCTGTGGTTAGTATAAAGTTCCATTTTTTTGGGGACAGAGGCAGTATTTGAAGGGTATAAGGTTTGGCATACACCATCCTCTCCTCACTATGAAGCCGACATCTATATCCCATTTTGGCCGCTACACTAACAGAGCTGTATTTTCATAGCAGATAAGCCAGTGTGGCTTGGTGGGTAGAATGCTGGACTGAGGACCAGCGGCACCCACATTCTATTCCCACTTTTCCAGGCAGCTGAGTGACTTTGAATCAGTTATTCGCTCTTGACCTAACCTACCACACAGGGTTGTTGTTGTTATGCAAATAACTTGGAGAAGGACAACAGGGGGGGAAAGGCATGTTATAAATGCAATGTAATAACATCCTCCACAAAGTTATGCCAGTGTATTTCAAACAGTGAAATAACAAGCTTTCTGTCTTTTCTGTCATATCTTAAAGACCAACCTTCCCAACCTGATGCTTTCTAGATGTGTTTGACTGCATTCCCCAGTGTCCTCAGAATTTACAGTCAAAATCCAAAACGCTGGGAGATTATAGGAGCTAGAATCCAACAAATCCAATTTGAGGAGGGCTGCTACAGACACTCTGTTTTATTCTATCCATTTTTTGTAAGCCATCCCAAGATGCTAGTAGTGGACAGTTTAGAAAGCTTTTAATAAATTAACTGGAGAATAGGATTGTGCCCTAAATGGGTATTTAAATAAATGGTGCAAGTTTAATTACACTTGTAGGTGGAATAGAAATACTTGAAACTAATTTACTAAATAAATAATTAACCTGATCACCATCATCTGATTGCATTTCTTCCTATGAGAAGAAAGTCTTAGTAGTATCCCCCTGAAGAAAAAACCAGGTGCTAGCCTGGGACAGAGTGGGAAGAAAAAAATAAGTTTCTTGAACAGCAAATCTATGAAAGGAGGAAAGAAGCATATCAATATAGTTGGCAGGGCAGCAGGTCATTCAAGACATGGAAGTCAAAATCTTTGTATAGTGCCATTGCCGGGAGTTAATAAAGAATTCAGTTTGAAACTGCTGCTGGCTTACTTGATCAATACTGACCATCAATTAAATTTTACAGAAATTATTTTCTATATTTAACTTTTGAATATCATATATTCAAATGGTGAGGGGTGTTGAGGGTGACTATTTCAACTATTCTGCCTTTGTAAAACTAATCTCAAGCTAGTAATCCAATTCTAAACACTTAGGTTGAATTGTTCTTGTTCTGCAGAAATCTTATCTTTCAGCATTTACTGCATTCATTCCATTGAGAACACATCAAGTCCAAGCCCGAAATCTTGTAGAGGAATTCATTTATTTGAAATATTTCTCTGCAGTGTTTCTGTTTTAACAAGCTTTGCCTTCTTCCATATGAGCCTGACTGATCCTTAACATCTGCTCAGACATCCTTCTCCATATGCTTTCAGATATTATATGTAGGTGATAGGCCATTGTAGTAATGGAGTCAACATTATGGTCACTTTGGCACAAGATAAGAGCCCTTTAACCTGTTGTTTTTAGTATTAGAGCTTTCATATTTTCATGCATAAATTTCAATAGTATTGAAATTGTATTTTTTTAACTTTAAGTAGCTAACTATATTCTAGCAAGCATGTGCTATACTCTAGATTAGTTCATTAACTGTCTGAAATCAGATAGGTTAAGTAGAGGTTTAATTTGAGATGTGAGAATCCACCCAGAATCTGTATTTCTTGTGCTTGCTGAACTTCTTTCCTGCACTCAGTTCTGGGCTAGCAAATGATTCGATCAAAGCCCAGCAACATTCAGAAATGCTAGCTACCTAGACTCATCTGGACTCACTTCCTGCAGGACAGTCATGTAAACACACAGGACAAGAAAAACTTAGAGCAGAGAGAACATGGACCAGAGTCCAGGAAGCCAACCCAAGGAACTCTGACATATTCCCACAAATCTCTACTTTTAAAACTTGTTCTTAAACTGCTACAAACCGTCCAACCACCATTGGGATGGGACCAAACCAAATATTTTACAAAACCAAAAAATAAATTTAATTGTACCAGTATCACGTTTTATAATGTTGCACAATGCACATCCATCACAAGTTTTTTTAGTCAGTCAAACAAGTGCCACCTTTTGCAACTGTTCTAAGCGTTCATTCACATCAGAAAGCATCCAGGTATCCTCCCCTCGCAGTCTCTTCAGTTCTTTGCGTTGCTCTTCTTTTTCATAATCAGCTTTTGCCTGAAATGTAGAAAGGAATAAAGATAAAAAAAATATAGAAGGGACAAACATATGAGTAATAGACTTTACACTTCAGTGAGATAGTATGTTTTGAGTAATTATGTAAAGCTCCATTATTTTAAGAGTTGTCTTATCAATGATACATTAGAACAACAAGGCCATATTTAAACAAACAAGAAGAATCCGAGGAACCTTTATTTTTTCACCAAAAATTACAATAAGATTCAAAAAGCAAAGTATTTCACCATTTAAGATAGAAATGGATTCCTACTCTAATGTATCATAGTAAGATCACAGTTCACTATCCTGCAAAAAAATCATTGTGATTCAAACTTTCATAGACAGGGGTCCACTTTGTCAACCGTGAAAAACACAGTGTTTGAGTGCAAGTATGAAATATGTATATAAGTTCCCATTTTCTTTCTTGCAACTTAAGCAATGTGTTAAAGCAGTATTTCCCAAACTGTGATCTGAGAAATCCTGGTTGCCTACACAAGAGTGTGTGTGTGCTCGCAAGAATTTTCCCTCTAAAATATTAAAGAGCTAATTATTTATGCATTAAAATATTTAGTTGAATAATAGTCCAGTCACTGTGACATGGCCATCATGAAGCCTCATGGGCAGTCTGGAGCCAATGAGGAAGGCAGAGCAATCCCTGTCCTTGCTCAGGCCATTGAAGATCCATGGCCTTATTGGCATACCACAAGCTATTGTACACAGCCAAAATCAGAATTCAGGATATGTCCTGACTTTGGAACCAAGCCATGATCTCTTCTGTAGGTAGCAGTTGGAGGTGGCTGAGTAGAGGCTGTATGTGAGAGAGAGGAGAGCAATCTGCACTCTGGGCAGCCGATATGAATCCTTCTCAGCAGGTAGAGCATCTGCCAAAAGGGAGGAAAGCTTTTCAGGGTTTTTCTTTTTCTTCACAGCCTGTAGTTCTAGCTTTGTAAATCAATTTGAAGGTGTCTAGCTAGGCCCTATAAATTAATTTTTATGACATGGGTGTAGCTCTAGGGTCTGTACATTGATTCTTAGGGGTCCAGGTTCACTGGATATGGCAAAGTGCACTGCTCAGATACTCCTTCCCTTTGTTATAACTTAATTTTTATATTACACTGTAACAAAAATGTAAGGCTAGTGTAGACTTGATCTTGCACCTGATATGAGGATATCCATCTCTTCAGCATAATTCCTATTACTAACAAAATTGTGAACAGAAAATGCAAACATATTCATCCCATTTTAAAAAAGGCCAAATTTGTATCTCCCATAAATAATTAACTGATTTTTTAAACTTATTCTTATTTCCCACTGATTTCCTGTAATACAAAACAATTTTATTGCTTTGTATTACAAGAATTCAGAAACATTTCTGAGCATTGTATGCAGCAATTTTTCAGTATGAAAATAGGCTTAATTTCCTTTATCATTCTTCCAAAATTTCCTTGACCACCCCCTTTATGCTAGATGTATTCCATACCAGCATTTAGGAGTTCCAACACTATATTTCAAGCCCAAAAATGTCCCATGGCCTAATAAGCTTGGGAAATGCTATGTTAGAGAGCTGATGTAGTGGAACAATCTGGGCACCTGCTGGTTTATGAGCCAAAACACAATGATGTATTGGATCCTCGCTTCGCTCAACCAGGGAATGATAAAATGACACCATCTTAGAGAATTACCTCCTCACTCATTTTAGAAAAGCTTTCACAAAAGTTAGCTCTCCAGTCCTATGAGCTGCCACACTGGAAAATAAATGCCTAGGATCACATACAAGGCCTGCTACACAGTGCAGCAATACAACCTGTAGTGCTGCAGTAACACTGTGAATTGATCCAGGTCTTTCTACTTAGCAAAACTGTAAATCAACCCTTCTGCCAAAATTGCAAGTACAACGGTGATGAAACATCTCCATGATGCAACATGGACTAATTATTAAGTGGGTGCTGAGATAAAGGCAAGAAGGCAATACATATGCCATCCCTGAAACAACAATTCAGTCTTCCAACTTAAGTCATGCTTTCTCTGTCACAGATACACACATCCTTAGGAGTAATGGTACGAGCAACAGAGTTTTGGTCACACTGCTATACCAGGATTTAGGCTGGACTGGATGTTACTGCAGCTGCTCCTCAAACAATCAGCTTGTCCCCTCACCATGCCCCAAAAGGCACTTAGTAATACAAAACAAGTGATGTGACATCAGCAGAGTCTGAGTGTTCCCATCTCACCACATTGGTTATTGAACACAGTGACTACAATATGCATATTTTCTTACTAGAAAGAGAAGGAAATGTGGGGTTGTAGCAGTCAAGTATTCTGAGTGATGTCTAGTTATAACTATGGTAACTCAAAAGAAATAATGTTTCAGCATAACCAAAATCAAGTCAAACACTCTGTTATTAAAGACAGAATTGCAAACAGGTATACCCCCATGTGAATAAAATAGAAACAATAGAATTCCTAAAGGCAGATTTTCAGCCTTGCCACTGAAAGTCATATTTCAGAATTAGCAATGTATAAACTACAGGAACTAACTTAAATAATTAAATGGAAAATGAGAAGAAAATATTATCTTGTAGTTGGTTACAGGACTCCAAGGAACTAGATGGACAAATTAAACTATTTACTTTAAATGAGCTGCAGCACCCTTATTTCTGTATTCTCAATATAATCATTTACCCTCAAGTAACAGCAGCCTCAGACAGCATGTCAATGATTTTCTTTCGCCAAGAATGCATTCTCCCCATCCCTATATATTCCATTATTCCCAAATTTAGGTCTGTCTCTCTCATTTCAACCATCCCAATTAATTTTGTTGTTGCACTGACTGAAGTAGAAATGAAAATCAGGCAATGACCTCTTGTTCCATTTCCCTAACCCACAGTCACAAATAACTTAGTAACATCAATCTTTCTCCTCCCTCCTATATTTTATAATTAAATCCCCTGTTAGTCGCAGGTTTCTTTCCTGTGCTATAAAAGCTCAGCCTAATTGTTTCACATTTCTCAACTCTCACCCAGTGCAAGCATTTTATTCTGAGCCAGAACTCATTAGCACAGTCCAATGCCACAGAAATACCCGCCAATTTTCCGTTTGCCCTTACAGATTAATCTCTACCTTCCAGTAATTTCACCTCATGTCATGAGTAGAAGCTGCTTTTAACTTCTATTGTTCCAAGCTCATTACGAAGTCTAATGCTTTAAAGCACCTAACAGATGTTCACACACAAACTTGCCCATGCATCAACAGGCACCTGTAGGACTCTGTTTTCCTGCCACTTCTGTGGTATGGCCCTTAGGGATTCCTAAAGACTTTCTGAAACAAAATACCAGTGCAATAAAAGTCTATATTTTAAAACTGTCAGTGGATATTAGTTTCTAACTTGTTATTTCCATAAGAAAACAATCAAGGTTCATCAGAGCACATCATCATACAGCTATGTGCACAAACTTGCTATCAAACAATATCAGACTACCCTTTTTGACATAAAATAGCCATATTTCACATTGTGTAGTTATGAATTTATATGTTTCAGTACCTAAGGTCTTCTTTGCCCCTCAGAAATCAACTGGTATCTCCAAAGATTCTACACAGATAGTTCCAAGCTCTTTTCAGGCATTTAAACTCTGACATGTGGACTCAATGTGTGGACTGGAGACTTACAAGCCCACCTTCAATTTCCCTGGTCACATGAAGACTTCAGGTGGAACCAGTGCCAGTAGAAACATGGGGGGGACTTTGCTGCTCTTCCCTCTCCAGTTTAAGCTCACATGCTTTTGAGCAAATTTTTGGATAGGATTACACAGATAATGGCAGTTTGGGAATACTGGTTTTCTGTGGTATCCTGTCAATACGCAAGAGGCAAGTGTATGGCCATGCTGGTGCCCACATGAGCCAACCTTTCGCCCGGATCTAGGTGGTGCTTGCGTAGGTGGTGCTTGCGTAGACTTTAGGCGAGAGATCATGAAAAAGGAATAACACAAACTACTGAACAGCTGAGAAAGACTTTTCCCAGTGAGGTTAACACAGAGCCAGCAAAGGACAGGCCTAAGACAGCCAATGTCATTTCATACCACAATGGCCTATAAGCAGAAGGAATCACTACTGAGGTAGACCAGAGCATACTATTTATTTATTTATTTGGAATATTTCTACACAGTCCAATGACACTGAGTCTCTGGACAGCTCACAACTACTGACTGACTGGATCCAAGCTCATGCTAAGTCATATTCCCCAATTTTGGTGCTTGCTTTACTATTTCTTTCTTACATCACTGAAAATGAAGGACAAAGACTTCACATTTTCTGAGACATCCATCACATATTGAAGGGCTTTGCAGCTTTGGAAAAAATGAAAACAGGAAAGGCTACGCTTGGTACTGTTAGACAAAAAAACTGAAAGTATTGGCTCATCATAATTCAGTTCAAATAAATAAATCCCAGAGGAATTTACATTAATTTATTGTTTGTGCCTAAGAATTTGTCAATTCCTTTCAGATTGTAACCTTATGCATGTTACTTGGGAACAAATCCAACTGAGCTCCAAAAAGATTACTGGCAAATAAACAGATATATAAGATAAAGCAAGAACTCAGTCCTTGTATTGTTCTATCCTACAGGTTAAGGCAGGCCTTAATTACTGTAAAAATATGAAACATCAATTCAAAATTAACCCTGGTTTTAGCATCTGTTCCCAAAGTGATCAGATACTGACAGAACAAGCATCTGCTGAATTCAATATCCTATAAAGTAAAAAAGAAAAATGAAATTCTAGTTCTGGCAGTGAAAGAGACTGACAGCTTCAACAGATGCCCCCCTGACATCCCCTCAGGCACCACAACTGGGTTTTTTTTTAATATTCCGGAATCTGCAAGTCTACTAAATTTGTCTGTATTTTGAGGACCTGTCACAAATTACTGAGCAGAAAACAATCAAGACTTGTCAATTCTTCTCACATTCCAGTATTCTCAATATAGGGATAGAACTCCAGTTCTGCATAGTTCTTCTGCATTAGGAAAGACTATCAGTACTGTGGGAACTTAAAAGCCATCAAAAAATTTACAAGGTCCCCATGCATCTCCCTCAATGCCAAATGCCATTTTGCTTGGATCATGCTTTCGATAATTTTGCAAAGCCTTTACCACTGGCCAGATTCTTAGTAAAACCCAATCCACTCCCACTTTCCATCTGTCCTCCCAACCCCTAATTTTCCCTGCTGTTTTCATGTGGGTTGCAGGTTAGGGACTCCTTTTCAGTGTCCAGCAGAAAACTGCTCTTGCCTCTAATCAGCTGTTTTTCCTGCAGGGAAGAAAAAGTAGGGCAAGGCCTATGAAGGAAGCAACTGCTTACTTCTGATGCTTGAGGACAATTAAAATCAGCGAAAGTTATGTTTGGCCCCACCCACTTTGCTCCCACCTCACCCCACACCATTTTCAGATTGGACTTCAGCTCCTCAACTGAACAAGGTCCTCATCACTGGCATAACTAAATAGTGAGCAACTGCATCTATATTTTCCCATCTACTGCACGCTTTTATTGATAACCTGCTCTTTCTTCATTCTCAATTAAAATGACGTGGATGTTTGGTGCTTGTTTTGCTGCCACTTCACCAAATTCTTTGGAATGCTAATCATACATCTAGTCATTTTATTGCCATACAGTTCTTTTTAGCGAACCAACTAAACCATGTATAATTGTTGTTGTTGTTCTAGGGCGCAAAGTCGTGTCCGACCCATTGCGACCCCATGGACAACATTCCTCCAGGCCTTCCTATCCTCCACCATCCCCCGAGTCCAATACTCAGTCCATAATCCTTTTCTATGACTCAGAAGTTGATTTAAAAAGAAAAAAAACTATGACTATGCACCATCATTATGAAGCAATGGAGCAGCATCACAGTTTAAAGAGCAGTCTCATTTATGGTTGTCCAACGAATCACCTAATTTCTCCCAGCTCCAAGTTCAGAAGATAGGAACTGGGCCTATCAATAGTCATCCCACCAAACTGTTGTGCTCTCCTGCAGCTCTTCTAAATTTTTACATTTCTGCTACGAGCATCTCTTAATATTTCTGCTCATCCTATCAGAATTTTTGAACTCGTTTCATTACACTCATTCATCCCTGTTTACACAGAATCGTGGCTTTACATATAAATAAGTTACTACTGTCTTAACAAGCATTTACACTTCCAGAGCTATTTAGAAACAAAGCTATTATGCCAATACAAAATTATAATGTAAACTTACAAGTAAGCCTACCATAGAACAACACAGGATACTGACTGTAAACTTGCAACCAATAGTTAAATATGGAAGACTGACCCCCTTGCAATAGAGCAGGGATCATCAAACTCAGACTCAGGAGCTGCTTGCGACTCTGAATTTAGTTTGCAGCTCACCACCCACTGGTGTGAACACCCTCAGGCACCTTCTTGCCACCCACCCGCCCGCCCCTCCTGCCATTGCCCTGAGGTACGTGCTTGCAGGTCTCAAACATCTGATATTTACCATATGTGGTTCTTCTGGTGAGCAAGTCTGGCCACCACTGCAATAGAACAAGCTCAGCAAATGCTTATACCATCATTGAACTGGCTATGATTTCATTGCCATATGAATGGATTTCATTAAAAGAAATTTTTAAAATAATGTATGTAAGTATAGTGACACGTTAGGGTCATAAAACTGTCTTTGCTTACAATGGCTTACAGTTTCTTTGCTCTATCAGTTAGCAGAAACCCACATTAAAATATTAATTACAAAGAGTCCTCTTTCTGTTCTTGAATGGAAGTGAGATTTTTCTCCCAGTTGACTAAAAGAAAGAGAGAAGTTAATTCCTTTTCCAAAACTCAGATATATATCATGGTGCCAGCAAATTAGGCAAACAGATTATTCACAGTCTACATATATAAATATGTTCAAAGCTATCTGGAAGAAAAAAATGAGTGAATATCATGAATAGATGTTCATAACACTAGCAAGTCCTATCTAAACTCTCTGTATCTCATTTTACTGGGACATATGAGGTGATGTATTGATCCTATTTGTTTAAATGTTGACAGAACTGCACAATGAAAAAGATGCTAGCAAGAGCTTCCCACTACATCCACATGAAGTGAAATACACACATGCATAATCATTGCATGTGACAAATATACAGAGCAGGGGTATGAGCAATTTATATCACACAAAGTGACTTTTGTGTAGGAAAGCCACTATGTATACAAAGCAGCACTCAAAAGTGGCTAAATTCTTGTAGATGTAAATGCATATTCTACAAGTTGAGTAAGAAAAGCTATGGCTAGTGTATAAAGAATATATGGAGCTCAAGATTCACAGATGTGTGATTACATCTATAATATAAATTTATTTTCAAAATAATGAAATGAAAATAAATTTACCTGCACTTAAATAGTGCACTCCTACTCCCATAGGACTTCTGAGGATGCAGTGTGAGAAATGGCCTGGTGCTGTCCAAATAATTTTGGACTTCAGAGAAAGGGTCATAGTTTAGTGGTAAAGCACATGTTTGCATACAGATGGTTTCAGGTTCGATTCCTGTGGAATCTCCACATACACCCAGAAATATTCCCACCAGGATATCTGGAAAGCTACTGCAAGTCAGTGTCAACAATACTAGACCAGAAAATAAAGCAGCTTCCTCTCTTCCTGCGACCATCTCCCATCAGCTCCAGCCAGCATGGCCAACGGCGAGAAATGCTGACAGCTGTAGAACACAATACCTGGAAGGTACCAGACGGGGGAAGGCTGGTGAAGAGAGTACTGAGACTTTTCTTGAGATGCACAGCGCCACTCCCAGAACTACATTTCCCAGAGTTCATGGGAACATCCCAACACTTACTGAGGAATTTAAATGGATCCTATAAATGCAGAGTGGCTTTAGAATAAAGAGTGCACCTTACTGATTTTTGCGATCGCGTTTCCTCACAAGTGCTGAGGGGGCTAAAGGAGAACCTCCATATACACACACAGACACACAAGCGCACCCACAACGGGAACAGTGAGCGTAAAAGACGCCCCACCGACTCTGAGGCGTTCTTAAACAGTAGAGCGAAGAAACAGGAGATTCCTGGGGGGGAACAGAAGCCCAGAAACAGGGCAAGCCAAGCCAGTCGGTCACCTGCTGCAGCAGCGCCTCGCGCTGGCGGCGTCGCTCCTCTTTGCGCGCCGCCAAACTCCGCTCGCTTTCAAACCCGGACGCCATGATTGTTAGGGGATGAAGTCGGAAGCTGCCGTAAAGTAACCTCACGTGATTGCGCATGCGCAGAGAGCGCAAACGGGTGGAAATGAAGGAGCGAAGCAAAAGGAAATGAGAGGCGGAGCGTAATGTCCATAGGCCCCGCCTCTTCGCGCATGCGTTCTGTTCTTTCAGAACATCGCTTGCGTGAGCGCTGGCGTAGGTCGTGCTTGGCCGGCCGCTCCCCAGGGTGTCCGAGGCGGCTGCCGAGGGAGGTCGCTTCCGCTGTACGACTACCTTCCCAGTCTGGTGCCCTCCAGAGTCCCAGCATCCTCAGGCACCTGCCTGAGACATTAAACGACTTCTAGCATGTCTGGAGCGCACCAGGTTAGGGAAAGCATGCACAGCTAAAGCGAGTTGAGAAGAAATGTGCAGGGTTGGCCTCCATTAAAGTCGAAGTGTATTGTATTGTTTTGCATTCTATTGTATTGGACTCTTTTGAATATTTCTGTTGTACTGCATATGTTTAACTGTATTTTGAAATGGCATGTCGGAGCTTTTTGTAACCGGTTCCAATCCATGAGGAGAATACTAGTGGTTGGTTGGATTATAAATGTGCTAAATAATAATACCGAGTGAAATTGTTTCATTGATTAGAATAGAACAAGGGGTAACGGTGCTGCTGAAAAATAGCTTGAATGTTGGAGAAAGACTCACCATCACCAAGAATCCCCATTTTTCCCCACCGCCATTGAAAGAATAGTTGTGGGGATGAAAGTCTCCTGCCGATAAAATGTCTGAAGGAGGCAACAAGCAAAGTTACAATCCAGAAAAGAAGGCAGTTAATATCTTAACCCCTTTGGCAATTTGTGGTGGTGCCCTCAAGATATCTTCAGATAGTCAAATGGACCCAAAAAGAATGCCTAGCCCTTCGTGGGATGGTGTAACTTGGTGTCCTGCAACAGCAGAGGGTTGGACCCAATGGCCTTCATGGCCTCTTCTAACTCTACTATTCTATGACTCTGTCGTTACAAACTAACCACCCTTTGTGTCAAACTAAGCCTGGAGTGACCTGGATTCAAGTCTTGAAGTCTGGACTTCAACTATGAAGCTCACTGGGGGTTATCACTAGGTTGGTCTTTGACCTGTCTTCCTTACAGTGTTATTGTTAGGATATATTTGGAGGGGAAGAACAATATAGTCAACCAGAGTTTCTTGAAGAAAAACCAAGATATAAATGTAGATGCAGTAGCAATAGAGCTGTGCTGGCTTCAGAACAGCTGCACTTTTGCTCTTGTATAAACCCTATTCAAAGCGAAATTCCCTTGCCCATGTGGCAAGCAAGCTGGACACACTCCAGCACGTGTATGTTTAGCAGGAGGTCTGAAGAGCAACTTTGCCTTTGCAGGATTCCCGGTTATATGGAAGGAACCTGCAGTCCAAAACTTACTTGGTTTTCAGATATATGCTTGGTGTTTGCGGTCCTGTTCTCCCACAGACAATGCACATGTTCTCTATGTGAAAAGTATTGTTGTGATGTCAAAATTATTTGGGTTGAAGGCTATTGTCTTTTTCCTTACACATCACGCCTAGGTAGTAATCTCATCTGAGAGGCATGATTGATTATTTAATTAAATTAATGAATTACTTTCATTAAATAAATTTCTAAGTGATATACAAAAGACACTGTAAGATGATTATTATGAAAATTTTGTTTCAGACAAAAAATATGTACAAAGAAATAGCCCTGTTCATAGGTTGTTGTGTTGCCCCATTCCCATTCCCAGTAACCACAAGTAATCCAACCTCACAGGTCTGGATGATACAATAACATAGAAGAGCAGCTGGTTACAGACCGGGCACCCAGGGGTGCCCCTTGTATGCTACAAACCATGGCAGCTCATTTAAGGTACTGAAAATGATCATCCAGAGAAAGAAAGCCCATTGAGGGTGTTGTGCCCATGGGGCCTCCACCACCTGGAGCCAACACCTTCAGCAGGTATATGTCAGCAACTGAAATAAATATATAGGTAAATATGGTAGATGGGAAATGGAGAAGCAAGGTGAGAAAGGGCACTTTGAAAGGAAGCACAAGATGGTTTGCTGGATCAGGGAGCAGACAGGAATCCAGTCTAGACATTTAGGAAAGGTATTACATCATCAGAGGGACAAGAGAAGGGAATGGGGTTTGGTAGCAGCATTTTGGATGGTGGTAAGAAGGCCAAAGTATGAAAGTGGAAGGGTGGAGTTTGAGAGGTTGCATAGTCAAGGCAGGAGCTGTCTAAAAAATGTGAACTGTAATCTTTTACATACTCCCTGACTCATGAAAGTGGCTATTCACCGTTGCATATGAAGCCTTTTACTCGTGTAATGAAAAAACGGTGCCATCTATTTGTTTCCATTAAACTTTAAGGACAAGTGAGTTTTCCCAGAAGCCCAAAGAAGCTAATCTTGCAGGTAAAAGTTAAGGATAGAAGTTTTGAAAGCAGCAGACTATCATCTTGGGGAATGGTTTTTCCTTTAATAGAATTTCACTCTGCCCCATCCATCTGTCATCATGAGGAAAGAGAAAGCTGGAGTTCTTTTCCCTGCTCAGTGGCAGCCCAAGAGATCATTAATCCCACTGAAGTATAAGCAAATATTATGGTGGGAGGTTGATGGCAGTAAACATTGTGAAAGTGTTCTCAAAGCAAAAATACATTCACACTGACGTATTCAGCCTTTCAAAAAAAAGATTGCCTATGCAATAACAAATTCATTATTTTCTCCTCCAAAATGTTCGCATATGAAATACATCATCCCAGTTTTCCCAGCTGTGAGATGAGATTCAAGAAATTTGCCTTTCCTTTTGTCAGATGTATTTGCTTGTGAAAGGGCAGCAGTTTATATTGAGTGTCTCATTTAAAGCTAACGTCCAAAATATTTAAACTTGATTTTCTACTTGGTCTTTTTCTTATACTTCCCTTCCGTTCAGTACACCTGCACACAGGTACAAATACATACTCAACATGTTGATTTAATTTGCTTGGAGGATGGTTAAATGTCTTCAAAAACACCCATGTCCAAGGATATCGATATGGGATGAGCTACATAAAGTGACAGGGCTAATTATATAATTTCTCCCTACATACAAGATCCTCCACCAAACTGTGCATGTAATTGATATGTTATAAAAGCATCTTGTACAGACCCCATCTTTGTAGTCCCTTTGCTGCATGTATTGCTACATGCTGCATGTATTTTCTGTTTGTCTGAATAAACTGTTTAGGTTCATTTTATTGCACACACCAGTGTTCACTGTTTCTTGACACAGGCCTGTTTTGTTTTGTTTTGTTTTGTTTTGTTGGTCTAAACATGCAATGGACTGTACCCTTAAATATTTAGGCCTACCTCCTTCTCTTTTTCCTGGTGTTTTCCCTCCACTGAATTTCAAACTGTGTTCCCCTTGGGGTGAGAGCCTGTCTTTGCACATTGATGGTGGCATAATGAACCAATTCTGCCAAACAGGACTGCTATGAGGATAGAATGGAAAAGCTCCCATTTATGCTGCTTTGAATCATAAAACAATAGAATAGTAGAGTTGGAAGGGGCCAGAGGGCCATCAGGTCCAACCCACTGCTCAGTACAGAATGGAACATTAAATTATACCTCCCAGATGGTTGTCCAGCTGCATCTTGAATGCCTCTAGTGTGGGAGAGCCCACAACTTCTCTAGGTGATTGGTTCCTATATTGCTCTAACAGTCAGGAAGTTCTTCCTGATGTTCATGAAGAGCCTGGCTTCCTGGAACTTGGGCTCATTATTCCACGTCCTGGACTCTGGGATGATCATGAAGAGATCCTGTCCTTGTCCGTGACAGCCTTTCAAGTACTTGGAGAGTGCTATCGTATCTCCCCTTGGTCTTCTCTTTTCAAGCCAGAACATAGCCAGTTCTTTCAATAAATCCCCATAAGACTTTGTTTCCAGTCCCTGGATCATCATTGTTTCAATCCTGTGAATGAGTTTGTCTGCATCTTTCTTAAACTGTGGGGCCTAAAACTGGACACAGGAGTCCAGGCAAGGCTTTGTTTGTTCTCAAAGTGTTTGCAGACTGACTGCTTTATAATCTGCCCCAGAATTTTCCTAAGGACTGCTGTGAGACTTACTTGTCTGTAGTTCCCAGTTAATTCTTTTTTTGGTCCTCTCTTGGAGATGGGGACATTAGCCCCTTCTCCGGTCATCTGCCACATTCCTTGTCCTCCATAATTTCTCCATAAAAATAGCTTTTCTAGGAGTTCTTGTGACTTTAGGGTGGAGTTCATTGGGTCCTGGAGATCTGAGCTCATTCTAGGTGAGCCTTGACCATTTGCCCTCTTAAACATAGACAATTTGTTCTTCAAAAGTTTCAACCTTGTCTTCTCCTTGACTGGGTGGTTGAGAATAGACTCCAACCACTGTGCTTTATTCCTTCCTCCATTGATGTTAATCCAGATGCTCTTGATGGGGCTACTAAGCTCATCCTCCTGTATTTCTGTGCAGAGATCTTTAACATATAGTGTGACCCTGCCTCCCTTTGAGTTTCTTCTGTTCTTCTTGAATAGGTTATATCCTTCAATTGTTGAATTCCAATCATGGGAATCATCCCACCAAGTTTCAGTTTTATTAGGTCATATTCACCCTGCTGTATTAAAAGTTCAAGTTCATGCCTACTCCGGGCATTAGTTTATAGACATCAAAGATCACGTGCTTTATACCCTTGCTTTCATCCTACATTTTTTGGAAGACTATTATCAGGCACTGTTAGTGCTGCTCTCTTTGTTGCAGTGCATAAGCCTTTGTCTGATGTTACTTCCAGATGCACATTCCCCTCCCCTGTAGGATTTAGCTTAAAGCCCTCCTAATAAACTTTTTCACATCCTTTGCAGCCCTTGTAAGGTGCAACCCATCCCCTGCGAGCAGTCCATCTTCCAGGAAGTGGTCCCAAAATCCAAATCTCTCACATTGGCACCACCTTCTTAACCAAGCACTCACTTATTTTTCTTAAGATAATCCTGCTTATTTTATATTGGACACAAAATG